AGGGAGAGGGAGAGAGAGGGGGGAGAGGGAGGGAGAGAGAGGGAGAGGGAGAGAGAGAGAGAGAGAGAGAGAGAGAGAGAGAGAGAGAGAGAGAGAGATCTATTTATGCTATTGAATTTCTACTTAATTGAAATTGCAAATGATCACGGCAGATTTTTTTTAAAATCTAGGTCAATTACATGTACATATACGAGTATAACTTACTGTTTTTATTGTCATTGTCATAGGCATTCACTAGTGTTTTCAAATGATTCAAATGTCTTTTCTTTGACACCTTCTTTTCTAACAGGCCTTCTTTGGATGGGGCCTAGTAGGTCAAAAAAGGCTGCATTAAAAAGACATATCATAGAAACAATTCCCTTGAGCTTCTACTTTCTGAGTGATGTAAAAGATGATTTCAGGTCTCTAGGGTTCAGGTCCTTCACTGAGATTTCTAATTTAGCACACAAGTGTTTAGTTCATAGATTTAGATTTGGACTTTGACACATCGGCTGTTTTCAACAAGTTTAACAACAAAATGATCTAGTGTGTGCTTGTCATATAGGTCGACAGCGGAAATGTAGTGCATGTCATAGTATTCAATGACAGGTGGGCATAGTTAGTCTGGTGCGTTGTAATTTTAACAGTATTCAGAAAAGGAAAAATGCTCAAGAAAATTGACGGTTGCTTTTTGTGACAGGTTTACAGTGGCAATGGGCTTGAAACTTGGCAGCAGTGACATCAATGTTTAAAGTGTATGTGTGTATGGTTCATAGTTATAGCAGACAGAGGTGTCAGATAGTACCACTAGCAAGATGTTTTTGTTGGATAAATGGCAGAAATTAAGAAATAGAAATGAAAAGAATCATAGTTGTATTGTTTCTGTCTCCCACGCCTATAAAGCGTTCTTTTATTGGATGAAGCTCTTTATTTTTTGTTACCCGAAGGCTGACTAAACAGCGGTAGCAATTCTAATTTGTTTTCTTTATAACAATTCCTTTTCTGATATAAATAGCTAATAACCATTGCATTGTTGCAGGGTCTGAAATTTTTTCATCAGTTCTCTCAACTGGTTGGCTGAGAGGGAGGAAAAATGTATTGCAATGTGCATCGTGTCTATTGTTTAGCAAAAAAGTGTGAATAAAGAACAATTTTAATTTTTTAATTTACAGATGTAGATGAATGTGAAACAAATCGATGCCAGGCAAATGAGAGGTGCAGCAACACTGAGGGCTCTTTTGACTGTCTTTGTGTAACTGGTTTTTTCGAATCTTCGACTGGGTGCACAGGTAAACGGTTAACTCACTTCATTTTCATCTTTTTCTAAAGAACAGAACTTTGGACTACTTGTTCTGGTTTCCTGATTTCCAGGGGAAAATAGTTTAACTTTAACTTATTATTTTTTACATTTTTATCGCTTCAAGAATTAAGTGCCCCACCAGGGCTGTGCTACTGACTGAAGTGTCTTTAGGCCATTCCCAAAGGGGGGATATTAATATGTTCTTATGCACAGTAGAATTGTAAATGGGCTGATTTGTCAATGCTATGCTCATACTGTGCTGCAATAACATAGGGGGAACTACTGCTTTTCCGTTCCTCATCCTTACTATCGTCATTTTCCGCTACTTCTTTAGTATGTTTGTCACTCTCTTGTGAACTGCTATTTTTGGGGTGCCTTGATAGTCGAAGCTGACTTCGTGCTGTTGAGGCTAGAGAGGTGAGCAGTGTAAGCTTGATTCCCCATTTGGACTTCTTTATTGACATCCACCCCTTGGTGCTCATATGACTTTATGTAGTTGTGAGCGCCGTAAAACCTTTCTAATACTAAAACGGCCTTTTTTTGTTGTTGTACCAGAGTATCCTTCTTAAAAGAATGTAAATACAAGTGGGTTGAGAACTGTTCTCGTCCTTGTGCTGAGTGGTAGACCAAGTCAATATACAGCCACTTTGCACCCTCTAAAGGAACAAAAATAAGTGCTTAATTTTTTTAAAATCCTTTCAAACATCCATTTCAATGAGCCATGGTTTGATGGTTTCCATATAAAAGGCATCTCCACAATAGCTCAGGTCCTATAAATGGGCTACAGTTTACATGGTTGATCAATCTGCACTGTGCTACTATAATGAATTTGAAATGTACATTCCCCATAGTTTTTTAAAGATGTGGTAATATTATTTTAACCTTTTATTTATGAACAGACATAGATGAATGTGACACACGCCCATGCAAATTGAACGAGGACTGTAGCAACACTGTGGGGTCATTCACCTGTGCATGTGTACCTGGCTTTGAGCCCAATACGTCTGGTGGGGAAGGGTGTACTGGTAAGTTATGAACTTAATAAACTTGTTTCCTGTTTATTTTTATTAACTCATTCGCTACGCCGAGCCGTGGGGAGGGCAGCACGGCTAAAGTGTCGTCAGTCACGGCGCACCGGCAGTGGAATTTTAGTTGCCACGGGGGGTTCCCCGCCGGGCGCCTTATCACGTCGGGGTCACGGGGATCAGCTCCCTGTCGCCGCTCTGTCTGGGCCGACTTAATTTTTGGTACTTTTCAACGTACAATTTAAGGTGCATCCTTGTATTTATGGTAATTCTCATTTAGTGCACCCAAAGCACGCATTTCTGCTCTTGAGACTCAAAAAAGAACGGACGTTGTGACTTGTCTGGTTATTTCGTTAGACGCGATGGAGTCGGCAATGCTAAATTGTAATTTTTTTGGGACTAGCGTGAATGAAAAAAAATCAATATAAAAAAAACGCATCGTCAAAATCTGTCGAACTTTTGGAATATGAACGACATAACATTAGTGCAGATACTCAGAAAAGATGGTATCTGCGCTTATAATAGAAGGTTGTACTTTTGCAATTTTATCCATCGGGCACACAATTCGCTAGGAAGTAATTCCTCCAAATACAACTTTATGTGTCTAATATAATCGTGAATATTCGCATATTTTCTCGAAAGTTTATAACAGTTATCATGAAGTTTCTCAATGAAAAGTACAAATCGATTTTAGTGCTAGAATATATCTTCAACGTAGATCTAATACACGAACAGTATCTGTTACACTCCAGAAATTGCTTACTTTTCTTAAAACGCTAAGTCTAGGTTTTGTAAGTTGACTGAATAATAGGGATGACTTCTCGTAATTGGGTTATAAGAATAATTTCTAGCTTTCCAGGGACACTGAATCAGCACCAGACTTTTCCAGCTTTTTTTACGTTTCTATGACCATTTGCAATAACTCACAATGTGACTGATTTCTTTACATTCATAATTGTGTCCGCGCATATTTCCTACACAAAAACTAAGAATGAATGTTTCAGCTGTCATTATTTTTATTCCATACTAGAAGTTTATCTCTACCTATGTATTTACACGGTTTTGTGGTTTTTTAAATTGCGTATATTATATCTTTTTAGTTGTATGCAGGCTGCCACAGACACAGCATGATTCATGAACAAACACAGAGTAACTTTCTCTTGTTTAATAGTAAAATAAGAGCTAACGCTGATCGTCTTTAGTTAAAATATACAGATGTGCATCTTTCTTCTCTTATAACTTGACTATTACTACTACCGCAGATTTAAGATTTCTCATGGTAAAAGACATGATATTCATAGTCGGTTTAACACAGAATTTGGAGAGATCTGTCGTGCCTTTTTAAAAATAACAATCATATATTCATAACGTTGTAACTAAAATAGGACAAATTGGGTACTCTACAAACACTTGTCTAGAACAAAAACTAAGGCACAGAAACTAACCATTCTAACGCAGAATAAATCTCAAGACATTGAGCTTTTAGTACATTCGCGTAATGATTTGCTGTGTGGGATGGGGAAGAAGTTATATTGTTTTAAACATAGTCAAAAATGCGAACTTCCCGACCGACACCGGCAAAGTCGCCTCAGGGCTCATTAACCCCGTGACCCCGAGCCGGGGAGCTCCGGCGGGCTGCTGAGTAACGCGAACTAAAAGTAACAGAATCGGGCGAAAAGTGACGCCGTGCAGTACGCTAAGCCGCCCCCGGCGGCGCGAGAACCGATCTTCAATTTTAGTTTAGATTCTATTCCAATCCACATATCCAAGTTAAATAAAGGTCATAATATAATGTTGACTTTCGGGTCAAGCATTTCCACTGAAAATCGGGAATTTAGATTCAGTTTTGAAACGCGATTTCGTAGTTTATTCGACTTTGTTTTATCGCGATGCCAAAATTATAGCCCGGACACCTGTTTTTGTAATTTTACACAACAAAATCTATATTATTTTGCCCTCTAAAGAAGTGTAGGACTCTTTTTTATAATGTTGATACGATTGGACTCATATTGCCAATGCACTGTTGTTGAGAAATCAATATTTTTGAGTGCTAGATCTAGATCTAGATCTAATCTAGTTCTAGATTTAAATAGTCAAAATATTTTTTTCTCTCCAAAATCACTACTTTTTGATGAAATGACACAAAAGTGCCACTCAAGACATGTATAGGTTTATTCCAAATGCAATTCTGAATAATTTCATATAAGATACGAGCGGGTTTTTTCTGTTTGTGATCGTTTTTCAAGATTATAAAAATTTTAATTTTTTTTCAATATCGGATGTTATGTTCAAAATGTACAAATATTATGGAATGTAGGTAAATAACTGCAAACTTTTCAATATTTTCCAGTTCTATATTCATTTATGGTTATTTTGATGTATCATTTGACTAGGTGCAAACATATTTTTTGAGTTTCACCAAAGATTATAAATTTTTTATTTTCAAATTTTATCCGCATCCAATCAAAACTGTGTTGCATAATCGTCTCTTACAGGAACCAAAGTTGAAAAATACATAAATAAACATTACAGATGTATTCTACAAACCATACTGAAAATATTGGTATATAATACACTGATATTTATTTGAATTTGTGGCCCCAAAGACCTTTTAACTGCCCACTAGTCATCATCTTTTTTCTTTGTTTTTGCATGGACATTGATGAATGTAAAAATGACTTGTGCAAGACCAATCAATTTTTTTCTTTTTCTTCTGTTTGTTTTTGTTCAGACATTGATGAATGTGACAGTAACCCATGCAAGACCAATCAAGTGTGTAGGAACTCTGTGGGCTCTTTCACCTGCGTGTGTGCCACTGGCTTTGTTTCCAATGGAACACTGTGTATAGGTAAAGTATTCTTTTATGTACAGTCGTCTCTGGCTAAGAACTCACCTTGTAAGAACCCGGTACATCTAAGAACCTGCTTTTTTGTCTTTGTACACAAAGATCACTGTATAAGGAATGTCCTTGAATTTTGCTCATGGTGTGTAACTTAATCAACCTGTCATCCAAATACCCTGACTGCTTCAATTGAAGAGTGGTTTTCCAAAACCCAGTAAGTCAATTTTGCCTAGTTTTTCCACGATACCCCAAACATACCTTATATAAATGTGTACATATTTTATAAAATAATGTGAGGCATCATTGTGAAATCAGGCGCTCGTCAAAATAATTAAATCAAAGAAAATGGCATTTTTTTCCTCTTTGACAATTTTTATAAAATTTGTATTTTTTGGTTCTACACCTTTCATGTTCATTAAAATCATTATATTGCTGTGTGGATTTTACTGAAAAACGTTGATTAAAGGCACAACAAATGTTAATTTACAGTTTCCTAAGACTCTCAAGTTTTGGACGTCACCAAACTTTGGTGGCCATTTTCTCTCTACTTTTACTTCTGAACCCAAGTGACCTCACCTTCTTCAATCTGAAATTTGTTGACTTGTATTGAAGATAAATGAATGATTTTTTCATCAAAAGAGATACAAATGAACAAACTATAAGATAATATGAATACTTCATATGCCCCAAAATTGACGAGCGCCTGATTCCACTGCGTCAGGACACATATATTTATGTACATATGCACACACACGAAAAAACATATGTTTTGGCTATAGCCTATGTATGTGTGTGGTATTATGGTGAAATCCTAGGCTTGTCAAAATTTACATAAGAAATTTAGGAAAAAAACACTCTTCAATTATGTGTTCATCTTTATGTCTTTTTGTCCCAACACAGCCATACTTCAGATTTAGTGATCAAACAGATGCTAGTTGTGTATTTGCTCTATTTGAGGCCCCATACAGCAATGAAGTTTTATGTAAATTTATTGTGCTTACATTATAAAAAATCATTTTAGGAATGGAAAAAAAATCTACAATAGCCTTCATGCATTCTGAATTTTTAGTTCTATGGAGCATCACTCTGTCGATTGGGGCATAAAATATCTACAATTGGAATTACATACAGGCCATGTGAAATGACAGATTCAAAGACAAAACACAAAAGTCTGAGTTAGGAAATCTAAGTGACAGTCAAAAGAAAATTGTTTCTCTACACTGAATTCCTAAGAAGACTTTACCCCCGAGTTTACAATAATACTAATACCCATAGTAGTTACTGTATATAAATGTTTCAGAAGAAGTTAATATAATATTAAATGGAAGAGCAGATATAATATTAACAATGAAACAGAGCAGTTTGTAATGATATTGTCTCCGATTAGAAGGTTTCTCAATATGCACAAATAAAGCTGTTGTAAAGCATGCTGACAAAATGAGTTACTTTTCTGATGTTAGCCCCATGGACTCAGATATGACAAAATCAATAGGATGAGTGTGTACAATTTATATGTACAAAATAATGAAAGACATTTTAAATTTAAAGAAAGTGGCTTCTCTAGGAAATAGAAACATTTGACCCAATGTCGATTTTCAGCCGATATCTCCATTTTGTGAATTGCGAGAAATAGCTCATTTTGTCAGCAAGCCTCACAATCATTAGGCCTATTGGAAATAATCATGTCATTTTATGGCCAATATTCTGTTTGTCCAGATGTGGATGAATGTCTGCTTAATCCATGCAAAGTAAATGAGGTCTGTACAAACAACGAAGGATCGTATTCATGTTCCTGTTCTGATGGTTATGAGGCCAATGCGAATAATGAGTGCACAGGTAAGTGTTCAGAGTACCTGTCTCTTGCTTGAAGAGATATTTAGTTATAGAGATACCACCTAAAATGAAAGGAGTGTTAGGTGCATACAACTAACAAAGAAGAAGAAGCATAGATAGACAGACACGCAGACAGACAGACAGACAGACAGACAGACAGTCAGACAGACAGACAGACAGATTGATAGATATCTTTCTCTCTCTCTCTCTCACTCTCTCTCTTTCTCTCTCTCTCTCTCTCTCTCTCTCTCTCTCT